AGTATGAGATTGTGTACCCTTAAGCACTTGTGATGTGTGCTATTATTGTTGGAATTGAAATTGATAGATCACTCTCCACCGATACAAGAATACTTTTGCTAATATATACATAGCCAAGGTTGACATGATGTTGTGTTATAATAGGGGATGAACAAGAATGTTCACCTGATAGCTTACAAACCTCCCATTTTTGGCTTCTATTAATGAAAGTCATTCTGCACCTCCAATCGCATGCAGTGTTAACACACCGTGCAACAATTAATGTTGGTTACGATTTCTCCACCTTGTAATACAGACTTTTCTTTATATGGTGTGCATCTAAAACATGTTGGACTTCCTCCTTTGTGTTGAAAGTCATGCCTTGAAATAGGGTGTCAAGAGTGTACTTGACGTCAACATGGTCAAGTGCATGTCTATACTCTGGGTCGGTGAAATCTATTTGTAAGTCAACATTATGCATGTGTGATGAGAAATTGAATGTGGTTGGTGGAGGATTATTATTTATTAGTATGAGATCCGCATATAGTTAAGTAGAAGTAAGAAGTTTAAGGCCACGAATCATACCATGAACGTCTTTATCGTTGGTAAGCTTGATAGCTCGAAAATTAAGCATTCATCCGCCTACCACTTGTGGATATCGAAAGTAAAGTTGATCAACTGAATGTGGTTGTGGTAAGTTGAGTCTTCTTTGGATCTTAGCTTTCAATGTATCAAGTGTGATATGTGGATTAATTGATAAAAACATTGGGTCAGAGGATACAAAAGTATCCCCTTTGTTTGTTTGAGTGATTTCACTATTGAAGAAGACCAACACACAGAAGGAAGAGGAAGACATTGTTGTAGACAAAGAGTTTGTATATCTAGATTTGAAAACAAGAATATTTTGCTCAATTGCACTCTGCATTTGAATCTAAGAATGGTCTCATTTAAATAGAAGGTGGAGATAGGGTTCAATCAATTAACTCATGACTAAAGCATTAGATTCTTGAGACGTGTAAATCAATGATACTCTGTATCAATGAAACTCATGACTAAAGCATTAAATTCCTTACGTGCGTAAATCAATGACATTCTGCATCAGTGACACTCATGACTAAAACATTAGATTCCTGATGCACATAAATCAATGACACTCTACATCAATGACACTTTACATCAATGACACTCTGCATCAATGACACTCATGACTAAAGCATTAGATTCTTTACGCACGTAAATCAGTGACATTCTTAATTAATAACATTATATATCAAGTACAATAATTATATGATTACATCATTAAAATGAAAATAACTAAAAAAAAACAACTTAAACAATATTTTACATATTTATAATTTTAACAAATGATTTACTAAATTATAATATTAAATTTTGTATATCTTAAAAATATAATTTCATTATTAAAAAAATATTATTCTTTATATTTTATTTGTGAATTTTAAATTAAATTATCTCTATTTTTTAAATAAATTTATTTTTTAATAAAATAAATAAGCTTTCATATTATCTTTATTTTTAACATAAATTTAAAATATTATACATAATTTTTAAATTTTATATATAATTATAA